AGATGTTCTAGCAGGTTCCACCACAGAGGTATAAATATAAGGCCTACTCTGCCTGGGGACTGTCTCTTCAGACTTGGTCTCTTAGGATCATCCACAGGTACCTATACTGTAGATAGGTCTTAGTCATCAGGTCTACTCCACTTCCTTGTTGCCTGCTTAGACTCTTGGCACTCCCAGGTGAGCAGACTTAGTCAGCCTCTGTTGCCCTAACAGTTCCTCAGTTGGTAGAAGGCAGCCATCCATACCATGAGGAGAGACAATCCAAGTGTGATGCCAGCAGTTGGCAATTGTTTCAACTGTGACTTCCTCCCAGGCTATCCATGCCAACCCCATTGCTTCCTTCTGCTCAATGTGATAGATATCTAGCACACCTGCCATCTCCTGATCCAGTGCTCACTCACAGTGTGCTTGCTTATAGTTTGCTTTGAAGTTTTGAATGATACCTGCATCCATTGGTTGAATATGTGCAGTCATGTTGGGGGCAAGGAATTTGACTCAGACATTTGTGACAGTTGCTGGATCCCACATGTGCCCCTTGTGGTTGTTGACAAGAAGAAGGATCTTCCAGTTCTGTTGTTGCATTTGGCATTCAAGGGCTGTAATGTAGAGCTGGAAAATCACTCCAGTCATCCATGCCTTCTTGTTGAAATGATAATCGAAGCCAAGGGATTGTGGTGTCTTGTGCTGAAAGCAGCAAGGCTGTTTGGAATGACCAAAAACCAATGGCTTAAGCCACTCACTGCCATCTGCATTTGTTGTCAACATGTAAGACATGTGAGTCTTATCACCCTTCCTGCCAGAGCAGGCCATTGTAGCAAGGGTGCAGTTTGGTGGCATTTGATAGAAGAGACTGGTCTCATCACCATTGAAGATGTCTTGAAGGGCATACTGATTGGTAATCTTCCTCAGATGCAACACCTCCTCCTCAGCCTTCTCAACATCAACCGATGCAGCTTCCCCCTGTAGCTGTACCCCTCTCAATCCCAGCCATCCCTTTATCCCCTGAACCCAACCATTCAAGAGTGACAAGAACTTCTCCTTCGGAATCCCCTGCATGTCCACAAACTGTCTTGCCTTGATTTTCAAGATGTTCTTGGTTATTGCAATACCCTTCTGCTGCGCTTGTTCAACCCATTCTTTCAGTGCCGCCTCAACAATTGGATGCTCAACAGTCTGTGGTCGCTTGAAGGAGGCAGTTGTGGCATTGCTTGCCTTCTCACGGATGCTGGCTTCATCATGCAGCCAGGCAGAGAGCGTGCTCTGGGAGATGGTTGGATATCCTTCTTTCTTGAGCCCTTCAACAGCTTCACGTTGCCACCATCCTTTTGCTTGGATCTTCTCAATAGCAGCCAGTTTCTCAGCATATGTGTAATTCTGACGCTTTTGGGCAGGCATGATGGGCAAATAGAGACGAAGGGTTCAGGGTCGACGTGTCACCCTAGGATTTTCTTCCCCCCAGACAGGAATCACACCTATGAAAAACCGTCCCGGACCAGTGATCATTATCGTTATCCTGGGTGATCCTTAACTGGTCACTTTTCCCTATCTAAGGAGTCCGTTCCGCCTCAACCTCATCCTTAACCCCAAGGAATCGTTATTGTGCCGGATCGTTACGGGCAGGGATTACTGTACCGCATTCGGGGTGCAGCTGTGGTTCGTACGAGACAACTTATCAAACACCGCGGTCTGCTCAGGGTTGTCATCGAACGTCCATGGGTGGATGCCAAATCCATTCGTCAGAATGATACCATACAGGCTCATACCATCATCAACGGTCTCCTGATGACAGTTGTGCAAGGCGCGCAAGGCAGTGCTCTTATCGGGCTGATGTTCCAGCGAAGCCGGTATCAACTGGGCTGCGTCCACGGTGATATCGCACAACATGGTGATTAGCGGACGTTCGGCGCAAACTCCCCTCCACGGAGCCCCTCGATCTCCACAACCTCGACATTCTTCGCCATTAGCTGAGTTCGAAGGGTAAATTGAACGAAGGATGCGCCTTGAGGAGCTCTACGTTGTCCCCATAGGTGATGATAAGTGTGTCGAACGTCCCATTACTTTTGTCGTGCCCGAAAAGGCATAGCACAGAGCCCGGACTTCTGCACGCGGTTCCCATCCTCATCGTCCAGCACCAAAGGTGTTTTGCATGACTGTACGAATTCTGGTTTGACATCCCAGCGGGACGAGAACAGAGACTCAGAGGCTAGCGCTTCGTCGACAGCTGCCTCTTTACGCTTCTCCAACGTGTTGGTGTCGTCGAGGTCACTCTTCCCGAGAGCCAATTTCAAGTTGTTTAAGCGATATATGATATCGCGCCTCGTGCTATCTGAGTGGGGCAAGTGACGGCGAATGAGAGAGCATTGCAGGCGATTTCAAGATTACTTGACCATGTCTCAATCCGCAAAGTGTGTCAGTGATGCCTGTATATGGTCAAAATACACTGCTCGGCGATTAGCATTCTTTGGTAGTAACGCCGAAACGCGTCCTCGACGCGTCAACGCCATCCTGTTCGTCGTCCCCGTTACCAGTGCCGGTGAGCTCAGCATCCCTCTGTCGTTCTTCTCTTCTCTGCTTTTGGGACTTGGTCGATGGCGACCACCACCCTATTCGGACGTAGACGACTCCCACCAAGCGGGTGCTGCCGATTCGGGTGCACGGTGCATACTGTCAGCCACCCGTCATAGGACGTGCCATGTCTGCCTGGTGTAACTCAGGTTCGTCCATTCGTCGTTCTCCACCAGCACGCCTAGCGCTTACGTGGTAAACAGTGCAACGGAGATATTCAACATGCTCTCACTGCTCTTTTCCCCTCCCCTCTTACCAGTGATCACACTGCCCGTTGGTGACTAGCGAGCCTCCTCACTGTCCACTTCTATCTCAAGGTAACGACCATATCGATCAACGTTCCAAACAAACGACAATGCCTCGCGCATCACTTCCCGAATCGCCATTGACAACACTGCCTCAAGCAACAGCAGCAAGCAACAAACGCCGTCTTGCCCGGGCCCCGCACCTCCTGTACCCGAGCACAACCAACAGCATCAGCAGTATCAGCAGCCTCGACGACGTCCTCCCTGAACCTAAACGGGGCTTGCTCGACTTCCGTGCCTCTACTTCTGCTCCATCTGGAGAGCCCCCTCTCTTGAAGGAGAAACGCAAGCGATCCGGCAATTTGAGGAAGGCACTCGATGAGCGAAGTCCGAACAACGTCGATTCGTTTCGACGCACGCATGTGGAAGTCGCTCTCCGCGATACGCCTGATGCGGTGTTTACGGTCACCACTCGTCCTGGCACAAAGTCTTCTAACACGGGAAAGAATCCCAAGTCAAATAATCCCTTCTCTGGAGATCCTTCCATGCCGGTAGTGAACCGAAGCACCACAACTGTCCGACTAGTCCAACCTACTGCAGGTGGAACCCGGAAAGCGAGAGATGAGCACCCATCCATCGCCCGCCCCTCCCGTCCAGCCACCAGGGTATTTTCCCCCTCCCCACCTCCGGCTGTGAACTTCGCGCTCTTGACGGAGCACGCGACAAAGCAAGCGCTCGGCTTTCCTTATATCCAACCTGAACCCGAGGCGGAGGAGGATATCACCATTGCGTCTTCGTTTGTTGGTGTCCGACCAGGCAGGGGTAGTGGAGGGAGGGCGCGAACCATGGCCAGCGAGATGCGCCTCACCTCGTTCACCGATGTTCCCCTACAAGACGACGACATCGTGGTTGAGAATGTGCGACTGTCTGTGCGCCCAATTCCTCCTACTCTTGGCACTTTCCCCAGTGTCACAGACGATTTGAAGCGCAGTAAAGGAAAGAAGTCTCGTCACTTGCGCAAACCCCCACCTCCCATATCGCAGGATGTCTCACCCCAGCCTAGCCCTCCGCGTCCGTTCTTACTGCCTGCGAGAAGACCTCCGACACCCCATCCTATGAACCTATCCGCCATGGCGGCCGAAGCGGCGACTATCCAGGCAGAACCCCTTCCAGACGAGGCTCAGGCTCAGGCACAGGGCGGCGTCCTCGCTGCCCTGTCCGCATACCTCTTCCCCGGGAAGTTTGTCCTCCCCCCTCCTGTAACAGCATCGAACCCCTCTCTCCGTCAGTCCCAGCCCGCAGCCCAAACCCAGACGCACGCTCGCACGGCCTCCACTCTCAGCTCCACGGCAGCAACGGAAGCGATCCTCGCCCACGGACGTTCTACCTACTGCTCTTGGCCAGCAGCCGCTTTCTTCTCCGCCTTAGTTTGCTGGGCGTGGGAAGTGTTGTTCCGCCCACGTGCACGCGGGCTGCAGAAACGCCGCCACCCGTTCCATCCGAGCGCTCAAGAGACCAAACAGGGCAGCGGGCAACCTGTTCCGCCTAGGGCGCGCTGGCCTGAGGGTGCGACGCTCGTTACAGAAATCGAACTCTCTCGAGGCGAAGCCGCTCGCGTCGCTGCTGAACAAGGCAAGCAGCGTGATCGGGACTTGGAACGTGGTCTTGGCTCTGCTGCCTCAACCCCCGGGAGCGATATCTCGGAAGTGAAGCGCCGTCTCCCCCCTGATCCAGAACAGGGCTTGCCAGATGGGTTGCCAGAGCTGGCGTATAGCGCTGAGGAAACGAATTGGAGAGCGCATCAGTCTACCGACCAGGAGGGAACAACCACTATTTGGAGCACGATTACCGGTGTTTGGAAGTCTGTTGGTGGGTGGGGGTGGGGATGGGGACGAGGGAAACAAGGGGAGGAGATGAGGGCTGAGAGGGTTTGAGGAGGCCACCCCAGCGCCAGTGATGATGAACCCATGTATTTATCATTTGTTTCATGTGCCCAGTGTCTCAACTTGTTTTCTTCTTGGCTCAATATGTTCGAAGAGTGTCAATATATGCAGTTAATTTTGTTTATCATGTGTGCAGAAGAGAAAGCAGATGGTTGTCGGCGCTTCTCTCGGCTCTTATTTCCGACACTCAGGGCGATCAGGTTTCCGAACCCTGCGGAACTGCCACGATCCCTGATTCTGACCACGCCGCAGTCCAGACCAAAATCCACTGTGCAGTTTACGAGGCATCTTTGAACCTCCCTCTCTCTATTGGGCTCCTTGTAAGAAGTTCTCTCTCTGTAAATCTCACTCACAGAAGTAACCTTGCACAGCAACGAGTTCTCTTACAATGGTCACTGGTACGATCCCTCCAGCTCATGCAGCTTTCCCTATCCCGAAGGAGTTGGAGGATGCATTCATCAAGATCTCCTTCGAGGAGATCAAGAGCTCCCCAGCGAACAATGCTGCGGGAAATGATCCTATGTACCCTGCGTTCGTCTTCAATTGTACTGTGCTATTTCTCCTTGCGGCGTGAGATCAAGGCTAAGACGTCGCGTCAGCGTCGGAAAGACGCTCTGGAACTGAGATTTGGGCGTCAGTTATTGTTTCTCTTATGATACACTTTGGCTGATAATCTCCATTTTTAGATACGAGGAACTCCGCCGGATCTATCCCCGTCACACCATCGTCCCTTCCGCGCATATAAACATCCTTGGATATCCTCACGCGATGTTCCGGCCCCTCAATCCCGACCAGATGATTACAAACACGTTCTTTGTCCCACTTGCCAGACGTGCTTCTGATACACCAGGTATCGTAATGGAGCAGGTCACATATGGGACTTTCATGGTTGCGTGGGATGTTAGTAATCTCTTCTGTATGCCTTCTCGTCGCTCACACTTCGCTCAGAAATATGAGTTTATCTTGCACATTCTTACGGTGCGGCCAATATATTGTTTGTTATCTGTATTCTGTTGATTAATTTGGATTTGCAGTTCACTATTCCAATGTTCGGCTACGTGACGTACAATTACCTCCTCCACGATGGTCCCCCAGAGCCGTGCCGTCGGCTTATCCTCGAAGCCGGCTTGTTTCAGCAAGCCCTGCATAACGAGATCTATGTCTACAACCAAGGGTACTGGCACAAAGATGTGGAGCTCTGGTACGAGATCCAGAAGGCCGATTGGAATGACATCATTATGAAGCCGGTACGTAGGCGTTCCCCTCTACTCTAGCACATGAATAACTTTCACCCAGGAATATAAGGATGAAGTGAAGAAGGACGTGTATGGCTTCTTTGATTCTGAGCAGATCTACAAAGAGCTTGGAATTGCATGGAAGGTCGGAAAGATTGCATCTCTAAAGTCTCCCGTATGCTTACTTGCAACTAGCGCGGCATGATCATGTGGGGACCGCCCGGGAATGGAAAGACTATCACTGTCAAGGCCATAATGAAGGACTGCGATGCGAAAGGATTTGCGCCGCTATACGTCAAGTCGTTCCAACGTGAGTAGAGATCCACCCTGAACAGGTGACGATGTTGAAACCGAGCAAGATTACGCTGGGGAGGAGGCTGCCATGCAAGCGGTCTTTGACAAAGCACGCCAAATGGCTCCCTGGTTAGTGTTCGTTCTATCACTTACCCCCAATAGCCTGATGCCTCATTAGTGTTCTGATATTCGAGGATCTGGATGCCTTGATCAATGATCGCAATCGGTCCTTCTTTCTAAACCAGATGGACGGGATCTCCAACAATGACGGGTTGCTGTGCATTGGTACGACCAACCATTATGATCGATTGGACCCCGGTCTGTCCGAACGTCCCAGCCGCTTCGACCGAAAATAGTGAGTCGGAGTCTCTTTCTTTGCCGACAGTTCTATTGCTAATATCTCTGTAGCTTGTTCGACAATCCCGACTGGGAAGAACGCAAACTCTATTCCAAGTATTGGCAGCACAAGCTTGCGACCAACAAGAAAATCTCCTTCCCTGACCCGCTTGTAGATGACATTGCAAGTAGGACAGCAGACTTCAGCTTTGCCTACCTCAAGGAGGCATTGTACGTGTTTCTCCAAACGTTTAACGGTCGAATGGAACTGATATGATTTCCGTTACAGCGTGGCCGCCCTCGTCGTCCTGGCGAATGGACCAGAGAACTCCAAAGACTTTGCCACAACCATTCGCGAGACGATCCAGTCCCTTCGTAAACAGATTGAGAAAGGCCGCCCAGCTCTTTGGTCCCGAGCAGGAGCAGATGGACCCAAGGTCATCATTCATGGTACCGGCACTATCCCTAAGCCAGAGTCAAACTACCTCGAAGCTGCTCGGGCGGCGCACGAGCTCGGCCGTCGCTACTTCTGAGCGTCAGACTTTGTATCATTGCGTACTTTGGAACTGTTATACATATATGCATTGTCACATGGCCAACCATCTGAGAAAACTACGATCAGGAAGATGACATCCACCAGTTCAATGCTACCTTGCTCGCATCTTCTTCGGTGGCCGATCTCCATCAGCAGGTTTTGTGACAAAAAAGCTCGAGATCTTAGTCTGTTTCCCCGAAAGCTCCGGCCAAAAGCGCGTCGCAAAGCGCGGCCATGGTGTGATCTCAGTCTGCTTCATTTCGTCTCGCAAGCATTTCTTGGTGCCGTCTTCGAGAATTATCTCATCGTGCAAGTCGACATAAACCGGGCAATGGTCGGAACCGAGCACTTGAGGTAAGATATCGGAGCCCTTTAGCCAGGGTAGCAAGCCTTCTGTGCAGAGAATATAATCCAGACGTAAACCAAAGTTAGCGGTCCTTCCATCCTTCTTCGACTCCCAAACTGTGGAAAGCAGTAAGTGCAGCACATTTCTTTTGCAAATAACTCAATTTACATGTGTACATCTTGGTTCGATCTGGGTGGAAGCGCCGGGTGACGTCGACCAGCCTCCCATTAGGTTGAACCCACTTCTTGAGCCAGTCCCACGGCTCCTCGTTCCAATTCCGCTTCTTGCTCTCCGGAACCGGCTCTCCATCATCCATCCTAGAAGCGCACATGTTCAAGTCTCCAACGATGATAACCTCACAGTTCTCCTCTTGAAGTAGCCGGACGCGTTCCTGAAGGAGACGATGAAAGTTGAACTTGTACGAGAAGCGGTCCTTCACAGTGTCGGCTGGACAGTATACGTTGATCAAGACGAAGAGACCCAAGTCTAGTATCAGAGCACGTCCCTCATTGTCAAGCTCCAGCAATCCACTGGGTAGCCGGTCATCCTCGTCCGGGATGAAATCCATCAGGTGCCCAGCAGGGTAAGTCGAGGAAACACGATCTTCCTCCGACAAGGGAGGATTCGGCTGGATCAACCCAGATAGACCTTCTTCAGCTTTGATAGGTTTTGCTTTGTTTGAATCGACGTAGATGGCTACACCGCTGTAGCCGCCTTTGCCTGTGGGGAGGGAGATGAAGGAGTCGTACGACCCGGGAAGGGCTTTGTCACGATCGATTTGCGGGCGCATTATCTTCATCTCTACCTGATCATCAGGAAATTGAAGGAAGAGCAGTTTTTATGTACCTTGAAAACAGTAGATGTCGGATCGGATATCGGGATGGGCGAGGATCGCCTCGAGCGTCTTGAGTTGTGACCATCTATCCACGGGTGAAATCCAGTTGGTTCAGCGAAGCTCCATAGATTACGCTTACGGATAATATTGGGGTAAGGTGCGAATTCCATTCTGGCCTAACAGTCAGATATACTATGCACAATGGACGTCGTATGTTACGAACCACATTCCAGGTGAGTATTCGCATTTGGATTGTCAACAGGACTGTTAATGACAAGATGACATGACGCGTTTCGGCGATGTAGATGTTTAGGTCGGCGATAAAAAGGTTCAACTGGGAACACTAGGACAGGTTTATAGGTCTCGAATATAACACAATGTATATATTGCTTTACTAGTCCCTCTTACTTCCCGTATCTAATCATGCTGCTTATCCATAAACTGGGGGACGAGCTCAATGAAATATCCATCAGGATCCTACCAATCGCATCAGCTGCTGAGCATCACCCGCGAATCACACAAACCCACCTGGATCATCGCGATCTGCCGATAGACCTCCTTGTATCCCTCGACGATCTCCACTTTTCCCTCCGGGATCGGGATCGTCTCGTTCGTAGCCACGCCCAGGGGTTTGAACACCTTGGCGCCGAACTTCTCCAGCCTGGCCAGTGCGACGGGGACGTCCGGGACTGTCAGACCGATATGTCCACTGCCGGGTTGTCAACAACCGAGCCATAAAGGAAGAGAAAGCGGAACGCACAATCCGTATTGCGGTCCCTCGTTCCCATTCGTGTACTTGAACCCAGACTCCTCTTCGGTATCGTGTACGTGTACAAGCTCTACTAACCCATCCCGCTGCTGCATCTTGGCAAACGTCTCCTCAGGAGACCAGCCGTGCTGTGGGTATCCGAGATAGTAGACTGTCATAGGTCCGGAGTTGAAGGTGAAGACCATACGCATGCCTAGGCCATCTTGATAGAAAGGGAGCGACAGGCCGGGGTCCTACACGAGTATGAGCATTGTCACATACTGGAAGAACGAGAGGATGCGTACCCTTATGCGAAGCATGACATGGTTCAGCCGCCATTTGGCTGTCTCCTCCGGTTGGGGCGCCCATTCCTTCGTGACAACGTGCACGCCAGGCTGGTGTTCGGGATACTTTCCCATCTTCGTAAATGCAAGGAGGTTGTTGGTAAGAGAAGAAGAGGCATAGGGAGCGCTGCTGTACTTGAGGAGTACTACATGATGGTACAAGGATAATCTTTTCCCGGATGAGAGCTCTAGCGACACCTGACTTGACCCTGGGCACTCATGACAATATATAAAATCAGGGGTCCTGCGTATTATTTCGAGAAAATTTTGACAGAAACATCAGAAGAGTAAGGAAAAAAGGAAAAAAATAATGTTTTCTTTCCTGTGTACTCTCGGATTTTTGTCTTACTGTTTTTAATGGTAAATTTGGTTGATAGTTTGCTCATTTGGGGGTATTTCATCGTCTTCTTAAGGAGGACCCCTAACTTATTTTTTCTCAACGACTTTTCTTAATTTAGTTTGGGAAGCGCGAAATGGATCCCTAACACGGCACCGGGGGAGCCCGGAGGGCCATTCTGACGACTTTGCTTCCGAATTGGGGTCATCGGAGGAATTAATTCGGGTAAATAGCATGGCCACCCGGACTTCCAGACATTCGGCTCCGAGGACCAACGCTTCTTATCCAGTGGATCTTCTTTCAAGGTTGTCCGAGAACCTTGGGATACCTATTCTCTATCACTAGCAGCTCTCTCTGTGTTCCCTTTTATAGCATTACCCCTAATTTAGCGGGCAGGTGGATAGCAGTATACTTGATAACTACCCGCTCGAACAATCGATCCATACATAGAAACTGCAATTCTCTTCTCCCGATTACTAAATACTGAAACGAAGTCCTGTTTGAGCGTAGTTCGATGGCATCAGTCCTTCAAGGAAATGGACTCGCGTATGAAAGGTTCAAATATGCTAACTTTGAAGCAAACAAACACACGGCTTTCAGTATGGTGGACATACTGGAGAGTGTGTGTCAACCAACCGGAGCCGGCCGATTCGGTCACTTGCTTCCGAAAGACTCCGTCCCTCGACATCGATTGGAACGACGCTCATTCGTCCACATCGTCCAAGCAACGCTGCTCACCGTCCTCCCCCCGTCCTCGACATTTTAGTTCACGAGCGACCATGCTCACAAAGGCTGCAGCTAGGCGGGGTATGTGCATGTCAAAGACGCTAAGGGATTTGCTGACAATGGGGCAGGGCTCAAGCCATTGGGGAACGTAGTCAAGAGAGGCTTTGCAACGGTGCAGGATCCACCGGTGAGGCATTATGGTGGCCTCAAGGACCAGGTACGTTCTCATATATGCGCATTGTGACGGCGGCTCAACATTCCCCAGGACCGTATATTTACTGTGAGAGACTTTGCTTGACGTTTTATGCCCCCTTTCATATCTGGGATCAGAACTTGTATAGTCGGCACGACCACGGCCTAAAGGGTGCTCAGGTACGTCTTGAGTCTTGTATTCTTAATGAAGTTCACCTCATGCATGTGATGTACAGAGTCGTGGAGACTGGCATCGCACAAAAGATATCTTAAACAAGGGCGATGCATGGATCATCCAGACGATGAAGGACTCAGGTCTGCGCGGACGCGGAGGTGCTGGATTCCCGAGTGGCCTGAAGTGGAGTTTCATGAACAAGCCTGGATGGAAGGAGGATCCGAGGTACGAATTTGTATCCCATGACACGTTGCTTCTGATGTCTGATGTCGTGATATTCAGACCACGATACCTGGTCGTAAACGCCGACGAAGGCGAGCCCGGGACTTGCAAAGACCGGGAGATCATGCGTGGGGACCCCCACAAGCTCGTCGAAGGCTGCCTCGTGGCTGGGCGAGCGATGAACGCGACCGCGGCCTACATCTACATCCGTGGCGAGTTCTATCAAGAGGCGTCACACGTCCAGCAGGCGATCAACGAGGCTTACCGTGCGGGTCTGATCGGGAAGAACGCCTGTGGAAGCGGGTACGACTTCGACGTTTACTTGCACCGGGGTGCTGGCGCGTACATCTGTGGAGAGGAGACTGCGCTCATCGAGAGTCTGGAGGGGAAGCAGGGCAAGCCCAGGTTGAAACCTCCCTTCCCCGCTGATGTCGGCCTGTTTGGCTGCCCATCCACTGTGGCGAATGTCGAGACTGTGTCGGTGGCGCCGACGATCTGCCGGCGTGGAGGTCAGTGGTTTGCATCCTTCGGTCGGGAAAGGAATCAGGGCACAAAGCTGTTCTGTATTTCTGGACATGTCAACAACCCGTGCACGATCGAGGAGGAGATGAGCATCCCGCTCAAGGATCTTGTCGAGAAGCACTGCGGCGGTGTTCGCGGTGGATGGGACAACTTGCTGGGCATAATTCCTGGGGGGAGCAGTGTACCCATTCTGCCGAAGAACAAGTGTGAAGAAGTATTGTAAGGATCTAGCTCGCCTTGCAGGATGACATTGCTGAATATTTCCTCAGGATGGACTTTGATTCCCTCCGCGATGCCCAATCTGGTCTCGGCACTGGTGCTGTCATCGTCATGGACAAGTCGACCGACGTAGTTCAGGCCATCGCGCGGTTCTCCCACTTCTACAAGCACGAATCATGCGGCCAGTGCACCCCGTGCCGCGAGGGCACCACGTGGATGATGAACATGATGGACCGATTCGCAGAGGGGCGCGGGCAGTCGAGAGAGATCGATATGTTACTAGAGATCACGTGTGTTCCGGATATTTTCATCTTATCGATGTTGCTAATACTTGTTGCAGCAAACAAGTCGAAGGTCGCACAATCTGCGCTTTGGGTGACGCTGCCGCTTGGCCTATCCAAGGTCTTATGCGCCATTTCCGTACGTCTTCTGCTTCACGCTCCCCAATGCCTCTCACTAACACCGGTCACAGGCCCAGAAATCGAGAAGCGTCTCGCGGACTTCAACGCCGCCAACGGTCCAGTCCTTTTCGGTGGTCGCTTGCAACGAGATGCTCCTTCAGAACTCGCGATCTCGGATAATCTAGGCCCTGAGCGACCCTCGCCTGAAGAGCAAATGGCGTCTGTTCCTCCTCCCACAGCGACACCTGCAGCAGCTTAAAATTTTGTACAATTGCAGGAATATGTATGTTGTTCCTCATCGTAATGAGATCGTTGGCCAAAGCCCGAACTTCAGCTGATTGAGGCGTGGGAATATTTTTTGCTCGAGGAGGCCAAATCGTCATCCCGCCTTGGGTATCGTGGATCCATTGAGCGTCACCATATCGGTACAGTTCAAGACAGTTCTGTGGCTGGGCGTGAGACAGATCGACATCCCATTCATTACCACTGTCAGTTGTGAATCCAGAAGTGACAATGTGCTATCCTATTATCCAAAAGGGATTGTTCATCCCGTCCTGAATCGATTCAATATACTTCTCCGCGGCACAATACCATCCGGCCATGAATGGCACACCTCTCCCCCACAACCACGGAAAAAACCATTCTCCATTATCGAACTTCCTCATCCCCGTGTATTCCCACCACGGCGGATACATCCCCGACAATCCCCAGTCAAGCAGCCACACCGTCCCATCCTTCCCTATCCTTATGTTCTGCATACCAATATCACCATGAGTGAAGACGAGCAGTCCAGATCGGTCGAATTGCGGCATGAGACGTTCGTCCTTGGGTGGACCACATGGCTTCCAATTCTTGCTCCGATCGATGGTGATCGCACGGGCGTGATCGAAATATTCCACGAATTTGTCATAAGACTCAAACGGAGGAGTGGGATTTGACCAAGCGAACTGTCCTCCGTAGCAGCGAGTCGGCTTACCAGTGCCGTCGATGGGTCCGACAACGTCAGAGTGGGGAGGTCGAAATGCGCGCAATTGTTTGACATAGTCGCGGATCGTCTACATAATGTATAATTTGCGCCGAAGTGATAGCTTAGGCCACAGTGTGTCCAGGTTTTCGCCATTAATATACTCCATCACGATGTTCAGGTAGCTGTCACTTGAATAGAACCAGTCGTACACCCGTGGCGTCCGGATCTTCGTATGTGACAACACGACCTGCGTCGTCCAGGCTTCATAGCAAGAGTCTTTGGTTAGGCCGACACGCTTGACGACAAGTTGTTCGGACAACCGAAAAACGTTGTAATATATCCGTACTGGAGCGAGAGGAAGTTTCCGGAAATACGTTTCCTTCAGCAGTCGTTCTATGTCCTCTGGGCTGATCTGGCCGTGTTGATCGACATCATTCTGTGGATTGAATCACATCACGTGCTTCAACGATTCCAAATGTGCGTACCTCTCCTTTTAGGTCAACCTGTGGTTTCACTGCTCTATTCGATGGCCATTGCGGCCAACGTGATACCCAATTAGTCGTGTGCCAGAACATGCTCAACATGACAGATGGTGAAATGGTATGAACTTAAGCTACAACTAAGACATTCGTTGGGAAGTCCATATGGGGCACAGCCATTCGTCGGAAGAAAGTTCAGTGCAAAACGCTTGCGCAGGTTGGTGACTAATCTTATCTAGAGAAGGACTACCAGATTGTCTCGGACCCCACTTGCTGGAGTGACAATGTAATATCTGCTATTCATGTCATTTACAGAAATCCTTGCGCATATCTGTGCCTGATGAGTACCGCGCCTTTCCACACGCATTGGCCTCGTGATAGATTCCCTGTCCTGTCGCCCCTCCATCATCAGCAGGCTACACCCCAGTTGTGTCACTCTCGTCGGGCTCTAAACATGCTCAACCAGATCTCGACACCAAACCGCCATATCCTATCTTGAAGTTTCTTCTTCACCCTTCACGCAAGCTCCGATCCACCGTATTGAGGGGTAGTGGGCAACACATATAATCTTCGTACTACACGAATCACAAAGGGACAAAATGCTATTCTATTATCCAGTAAGGATTGTCCATCCCATCCCTGATTGAGTTGATATATCTCTCCGCTGCAGGATACCATCCAGCCATGAATGGTACACCTCTCGCCCACAGCCACGGAAAGAATTGTGCTCGATTATCGTACTTCCTGAACGATGTGTATTCCCACCACGGGGGATACATACCCGACATTCCCCAGTCGAGTAGCCATACTTTCCCCTCCTTATCTATCCTTATATTTTGCATACCGACATCGCCGTGAGTGAAGACGAGTGATCCGGATCGGTCGAAATGAGGGAAAAGACGTTCGTCCTTGGGTGGACCACATGGCTTCCAGTTCTGGTTTCGATGAATGGTGACGGCACGGGCATGATCGAAGAATTCCACGAATTTGTCGTAAGAGTCAAACGGACCAGGGGGGTTGGAATACGCGAATTGTTCTCCATAGCAACGAATCGGTTTACCGGTTCCGTCGACGGGCCCAACAACATCCGCGCCAGGCAGACGGAGCGCTCGTAACTGCTTGATATAGTCACGAATTGTCCATATGATCCAGATCTTCCGCCACAGACTGAGTTTGGGCCACAGAGTGCGCAGGTCTTCACCATCGATGTAGTCCATCACGATGTTGAGGCACTCATCGCTTGAATACGACCAATTGTGCACGCGCGGTATCAGGATTGTGGTGTGTGACGAAACATACTGCATCGTCCAGACCTCGTAGGACGACTCCAAGGTGCGCTGGACACGCTTGATGACAATGTTTTCCGACACTCGAAAAACGGTGGGGTGGATTCTCACTGGGCCGATACGGCCGTGAAAAAAACGCTCCTTGACCAGCCGCTCCACTTCCTCAGCGTTCACCGCATTATGGTGGTCATCATTCTGAACAGCGAGTGAGATCACACGTCGGAAAGGAGCCAAATTCGGCATACATGTTCATGTGGCTCGATTGTTGAATTGACGCGTCCAATCCAGAGCCATCGTGGAAAACCAAAGCCTAGCAGGTCGAACATGACGGACCAGGTGAAACACCCACGACTGCAAGCCGAACACGGGTCCAGAAAAATGCCTCCGCTATGCAACGGCGCAAAATCTTGCGGCCCACGAGGACAAAATGTGGCCGTCCAACGCCAGTATTTAAAAGAAGTGCGCGTGGTCTGAAGACACGACTCTGGGCAAGAGATGCCTCACTCACGGCATGATGATGTTATCCTCTGGCAGAGAGCCGGGAAAGGACAGTCCCCGTTTTCGGTGCAAATACCATACTGCCATTGTTCGCATTTCCATAACAGTGCCAGGCTTCCGACAGCCTGCAATCCAATCTCTCGGCCCGTATCGCAGAGGAGGGTACATGCTGGTGCCAGACTACTGCTGCAGCATCCACACGTGTTTCTTTCGGCATCCCAATGGCCAGCGTGCAGCCAGTATCCCTCTGTTGTCTTAGCATAAGAATAATCATTCGGGAAAAAAAGTCCTCACTCACCCTCGTTTGCATTTTGAAGCTCCCACTGTTCGAATATGCAGCAAGAGAAGCAAGAAACCTTCCAACAGGCGATTCGCAGACTGGCAGGAGTGATTGACGCTAATTCCCAGGCAAACCCATATTCACGTGAGCAGTGTCTGATATGCCTGAAAGGGCGCAACTGAAACCTTGTCTGAAGGGGGGACCATAGATGCAAGTGATTTCAAGAAAGCCGAACGCCTGGTGTATGGAGTGTCGCTTCATGTTTCTCGAAGTGGCAGGACAAGCCACTGGCGCCTTTTCCTGCGTCTTGAAAGACCCAAAGAGGAGGCATACAAGGAGCCAACCGACCCAGACCAAGCAGTAGACGACAACGTGATGGCTGCTTTTTCAGAATGGTTACAACATTCAACTGACAAATCTGTCGAGCTCAATTCGATTGGACGAAAAGTGAATGGACGCACACTTTTTGTCATCACCTCTCGTCCTTATCCACAATCCTCCACGGACGCCAGGATCGGTTCGATGTACTTCCCGTTCAAGCCAATAGATATCACGGCAAAGGACGTTGTTGATGCGCTGGTGGAGGCCAAATTCGACTTGTACAAGCTCGATGTAGTTTCTGGAAGTGGATGCTTCTTTTGGTGCTGCGAGGTCCTCGACTTCTTCGCGAAGCAGCAATGGCTTGAAAAAAACGATGCCAGACAGCTTGCTGAGCGGTACAAGCTGTTGATGGCAAAGAAATATCCAGATTGTATCAAGGAAGAGACGCCAGAAGGCGAGTTCTACCCTGTCGAGGGTCAATCCTTTCTGTGCGCAACCATTCATCCAATTATTCAAGAGACTGGCTGACGAGTGAGATATCGTTTTTCTAGCCCTGAGGCTGACCCTGCTCGAGGATAACTATCGCTACCAAATAATAGATCCTCAGACATAGTAGCTTGATCGAAGTCAAATGAAGACTTACAATGAATCCCCACCAAACTTTCATCTCCCCCGTCCGTACCCTCCCAACACGCCGAACCACAACCAGTGCCAAACTCATCCCAAACCCAACTGCTCTCACTCCGACCCCTGCATACGTTCTCGCCCACCCACTCCATTCCCCCGCCAACCATGCGGTCGTGAGCATCCATAACGTGAGCATATACCCGCTCAGACGATGATACTTCCACATGCGCTTCGCATTTGTCTCACCTCCGAATGCGCGCCCGTTGAACCACACTGTTGCGGTTCCTATGCTGCTCTGGACGATCAACCAGAGGTCGGCGATGAGTTGAATGACTGCGTGAAGATGGAGTGTGCGGGTCGTAGGTAAATTCGATGAGCACTATGGATCAGGTGCTGATGAGCAGAAGAGAGGACCTGTGGACTGAAAATTTGGATGTGTGAAACCTGGAGGAAGCCATCGTTATCGGTCGAGGTATATTAGAAACCTGCAACTAGAATCAGCGATATGTCAGAGATGTGACAAGGCGGAAAGCGCACTGATAGTGTGAAGGGCGATCCCTGCGCCCTCCAGTGTTGGCTGTTAGATGAACCATTGTGCGCCATATGCCTTCCCTCCATGGAAGAGTAACGTCAAGGTATCACCCGAAAACGATGAAGATCAAGAGCCCCGCGTATATAATAACTGACAATACGTTGTTCATGTCAGCTATGACCACCAGAAGAGCGCAGGCACATACCAGTTCTTTGCTCATAGCAAATTCGCTTCGAAAGTTCATTCCTCGTTGCTGGTAATTCAGGTTGGGCGGAGCTGAAAGCTGACCATCCTCAGTTGCCGAGTCTACTTTGGTGATCCAGGAGCAGGGGCGTGGAAGTCGCTGTCGTCGTCAAGAATGAGCAGTATTATTAGTACATGCCACCGCTTGGCATGACGCGTCGAGGAGGTGAGAGGAATTCTGTGGATTGAATGACATCACGTACTTCCACCAGGCAATACATGCGTACCTCTCCTCTTGCTCGATCTGTAGTTTTCAGGCTTGTATTCAAGAATCACCCCGGCCAAAGGGGAAGCCACGCAGTTTTGCAAATCAGGTGAACATGATGGACGGTTGAACAGTCTCAGGCGCGCAGCTCTTCCGCTGAACCGAACTAGACACATGAGCCATCCAGTCTTAAGCAGGAAAAGTTGAACCCAGTCAAAGGAATTGAGTTTCGGATCCCTCCTTCGAGATCAACTAGTACTGGAAAGGTCGAGAAGGGCCAGGATGAACGGCACTCATTGTTACGTGGCATCTTTATCGCCATCAATTGTCCAAGAGAATAGCTAGCGAGCGAGGAACGATCTGTGTAGCTCATGCCAGAAGCGCTATCACCCACCGAAGAATAGAACGTCAGACGTAGTCATTTGCATAGTCAAACCGAGACTCACAAAGTAACAACAATGATTCCTACCAAACCTTCATCTTCCCCGTCCGTACCCTCCCCCCAAGCCCAACCACGACCAGTGCCAAGCTCATCCCAAACCCAACAGCCCTCACTCCGACCCCTGCATACATCCTCGCCCACCCACTCCACTCTCCCGCCAACCACGCGGTCGTCAGCATCCATAACGTGAGCATATACCCGCTCAGACGATGATACTTCCACACGCGCTTCGCCTTTGTCTCACCTCCGAATGCGCGCCCGTTGAACCACACTGTTGCGGCTCCTATGCTGCTCTGGACGATCAGCCAGAGGTAGGCGATGAGCCCGAAGACGGCGTGCCAGGAGATGAGGTGTGGAGCGCTGTGTGCGAACTTGTTCAGCACTATCGAGGCGGTTCCGAGAGTCAGCAGGGAGAGGCAGGTGAGCTGGAAATATTGGTGACGCATGAGACCTGAGGCTTTGGAGGAAGGAGTCGCGGTTGGCTGGAGAGTCTGGATGCCTGGAAAGGGAGTCAGCGGGAGTCGGATGGAGATGATGGAAAACGCACCGATAGCGAGGAGGGCAATCCCTATACTCTGCAGGGTTGGATGATAGATAAACCATTCGCGCTCCGTATTCCCTCCATGGGAGAGGAACGTAAGATACCATGCAGAGAGAATAAAGATGAAGAGCCCCGCATATATCATGATTGAGAATACGTCGTCACCATCTGAGTCTCGTCAGGTACGAGCCAAGCAAGAATGGTGCACGCACTGCGTTCCTCCCTAATGCGCCTCGGGAGCTCATCGCCCGCTGCTGGTAGCGCGAGTTCGTCAGCGTTCTCGTCGAGCAACGGTTCCACCTCTGGTTGGGTCATGACCGTGGGCGACTCTGGCGCCGGGTAGGTTGGGCGTAGCTGAACGCTTGCCATCCTTGCCATCTAATGAAGTCCCTGCTGAGCGATTCAATAAGATCGATGGTATCAGATCTAGAGCTGGGAACCTACTCGCTGACCCGATATAAGGTGATGTTGCCAGAGTTGTTGAGCTCGCCTCCGAACTCGCCGCGGTCATCACGCCCAATGACGACTTTGTAATCCCTGGAGTTGCCAAAATAGCCTATCAGAGGCTAACGCTTTCAAGACGCGGTTGACCACGTTCATGGTGGAGGTTCCCTTTCTACTCAACGATCAACTCGTCAAATGAAGCTATTCTGACGTCTTTAGAGTTCGTCCTTCTAACCATAGTTGTGTTGTGATCACTTCCAATCCGTGCCTAGTACAACAAGACCGTCGTGCTCGTGCCCAGTCACCGAACCCAATCCATAAACCTTGAATAAACCATAAAAGCGTGATGTAGGTAAACCGTTGCGTGAATCGTAAGGATGTAGAACTAGGGTCATGAACAACAGTGCTCAGGATGAGGATGTACAACAGTGAAATACACATGGGACCGCCTTTCCTCCTCTCTCGTCCATGGAGACCTTCCTCCGTCCTTTCCTCCGTCGTCCGTCCGCATCTTCCGCAGGTGATCGGTATATAGCCTCTCCTTCTCTCATCCCTCTCTCACAGGAAGGGAGAGAGCCCTGCTCCCTCCTTCCGAGTGTCTATGACCTCTCCCCAAACACAGCCCTCCACACCCACCCCACCACAGCAGTCTTGCCAATATCCAGCCCCGTGCTCACAACGAGCACACAAGCCCAAAGGAAGAAAAGCATCAGCACCAGCAGGGGCGTCGCATCCCCCGGGTTCAGGTAGTCCCTTATTCGCCGGAGGGAACCGACGATGCGTGCGAGGGGGGAAAGATGTAGGTTCGTACGTGGGAGGCGGAGGATGCGGCCCGGGCGGCGGAAGTAGGAGAGCGGGGAGGAGGGGGGCGTGTGTTGCGGTAGGAGGGGCGGGGTCGGAGCCCGTTTGGACGACTTTGGGGAAGGCATCGGTACTTGGTTCGAGGATTCGAGGACGAGTCGGCGCAGGGGGGAAAAGACAATTAATTTGCGCGCGTTCGTTCAAGTACCCAAGGGCAGAACAAAAGCCGCGGCCGAGATGGTCTGATCGCTGGCGGAGAATGGGGAATGTGAGATTGATAATAATCGGGCTGGCGTATGAAGATTGGCTGTGCTGGTTGCCACGCGAGGGTAATGGCAGATCTGATACGCTGATTCTGAGGTTCGGCGGGAGGGAGAGGCTGCTGGCGGGGGCTGGGGCAGACAAGGAGACAGGAGTGAGGAAGAGGCGGGGTAAAGTATGGCGGCTAAGGGTGAGAGAACATCGGTATTGTTTGACAGGTTGTTGGAGAGTTGGAGAAGACTGAATACAAGGGCAGGAAAAGCTCGGCGGTATGTCGCTTTCAATGGGATGTCGAGAGGTTGTGGCGTATCCGCAGGGGTGCGCAGTGCGCAGGCTGATATTGCCCAGTGAGAAGCAAAGGGTAGAAAAAGAGAAGGGGGAAAGAGAACAGTATTGGTGGGTGAAGGGGGTTAATATTGATAGCGAGCAGGAAGATGAGGTGAACTTGATGAGCTGAGCATGGGCCAGTACTCGTGGATTCCGCCGGGCAGAGGCCAGGGGAAGGAAGGTGCCAGCGCTAAAGCTAATCACGGCGAATGTCGACCACCAGAACAGAGACAGGAGCCAAATAAACTCAAGTTCACACAGACACAGCACAGTTCATTTCGTCCATTTCGCCCCGCCTTTTTCGAGTGTATAATAGTACACACGGCGAGACATCGGCCAAATCGGACGTATTATCCCTCTCCCGATTCATCGTACAGTAACTGGGGTTGATCATGAGTTGCGAGGCTGTTCGACAATAAGCACAGGGGCGGGATGGCAACGCACCGCGCTCGAGAAGCGAAGTGTCGGAAGGTCAGAACTGTACGCCGTTGTTTCTCCCAAGGGTGAAAAGGAAGTTCAGGGCCCAGCCGGGAGGCGGCGTGGTCAGCCCGATCACATCTTTCAACGCCGACATAATAGTCGCAGGTGGCCTCAGTGCTGTCCATCCATACAAATTCGAAATACATTCATTCCTGATGCCGCTCTTACAAAATTCACTGTGCTCTGATGACCCGACTGGTGTACGAATGCGGAGTGAACAAGTCCGCTCTTTCTACAAAGCAGAGGGAGGAAACGTGCAACAATCCCCTCTCTCAGGGATCTGATCCATCCGAATATCCTTCCCGTCTGTCTTCCCGAGTCAGCACTCTCGGACTACTGAACGAAGCGCACAAATGAGCACGTCCGATTCCCTCGGATGGGAAGATAATAGGAGAGCGTGAGTCAGCCGTGATGCGTGACACATGACTTACCTTCAAGTGATCGGTCGTAACTGCGTTATTGTTAGATTAATATTCAAACACGACATAAATGGGTTGTATACAATAACTCCGCAGCTGCCAAGCACACCATACAAAAGAAGAAATACAAACGTACGGCGCCAACATTAATCGCAGTCTCCGCAGTCCAGCCTTCCATTTATCCATCTTCCCCCATCTCCGGAAGCTCCTCCGCGGAAAACGTGTATCTCCCTAAATCGGGCATCCTCGACTTCACGCGCCATGGAAGCAAATGAGCGCTTCTTTTCCCTTACACTCGTCACGTGTGCCAGCGGGGGAATGTATTGGCTCTCCGGTCGTTGCTTCCCAACACCTCTTTGTCAGCTCATTAATATTACTTGGTGCCATCGCCTCGCCGTACCCCAGATAATAATCAGCTCGTCATCAGCCCCGGCCACAACTCAACCCATAACTGCCTTCGCATAACCACAGAACATAATCCCACGACGGGACATACAAAGCCCTGAGACAACCCTGCCCGTCCCGATGAATAATCTGTCACACGACCCCCCCAGGATTCATGAGGCATATCATGTCACGACTGTCTTGAAGCTGTGAGGTTCTCTCTGGTCTGGATCAGGTGTACTGCTCTCTCTTGCTATGTGGCGCTAGAACACTATCTGCTTCGCGACTTGATGCTGACAGCCCATGGCCGCTTAGTGGACTTCTTGAGTTTGGGCACTGCTCTATCCAACAGATCCTTCAAACAACACATACTTGTGCTTTGGCACTTCTCCATCGCACCTCGCACAGTGACGGAGGAACGGAGCCCACCAACGCTCTCATGGTTACAGTACTGTCTGTCTGCCTATCCACCAGGATAATTCTGCTCGCCCACATTCTCGGACTGTTGAACCTCGGATAGGATGCACAGGATGGCCCCTCGCTCTATATGGTGCAAGTGTAATTCCGTCAACTTGGCCACGACTCTGTACAGTTACGTCCAAAAGATGGGAGGGCGTCAACCCCGTTTCGCATATTGTGTACGAAGTATCTTGTCTTGACAGACTCGGATAGTCAGACTCGATCCAGACCGCCAAGAAATGCTGCGGAGGACATCGAGCGAATGACTCTTTAAAAACGTTTTATCACTTTCAGGATACGTCATCATCAAGGGAATCGCGATGACCCAAGGTCCTCCCTAGGTACTCCTGCGAACCTTGGACGTTGCATCCCAGACAACCCACCACTTGTGGAGAGCCTATTTGTCCCCGACGCCCACGAAACCAGAAACACCCAGACTCCGCATCTCTGACCTTTGCTTCACCCTTTAACATGTTCCGATTTGTCCCATACATCCCATATTACCTTTCAAATTGGCTGCTGTCGCTCTGGACTAGCAACACCAGATTGCTTTTGGAACCCGACTCGAAAGTTCGCCAGATTCCTTGTTCCCGAAACTTGTTCTTACAAAACTTGAACAGCAGAGCGATGTCCAAACAAAGGAAGCTTCCGAGGAGGACATTAAGAGACTGTTCGAAGAGAATGGCGTATCGGTTAGCGAACCGGGGATAGTCATTGCGCATTCCGTTTATCGCTTGTCGGAACGAGTTGCTCTGAAGCGCGCTTTGTTTGACCAAGCCTCCTACGAATTGTGGACGATGCAACTGATCTCTTTGAATACAAGCATCCCGACGCCCCGTGTATACGATTGGTTTCTCTCACCGAACGGGCGGTGGAGTACATCGATGGCGAGGACTTGTATACATTGTGGCCGAGGCTCAGTCTCTGGCGCAAGATATACATCATGTGGACTATCCGTGGTTATGTCAAGCAATTACGAGCCCTCCGACGTCCGACGTCGAACGTCGGAACCATCGATGGCACTGGCAAGCCTGGTCCTTGCGCTGGGATGCAGTTCGGTTGGTGCAGTCGTCCTGGTTCCTTCGCGTCCTACGGCGCACTCGAAGCGTGGTTTGAACACCTCCGAGCGATCACCATCGATCTGAGTACCGGGTTGCCAAAGATTTATGGTCCGCCGAGGGACGATCGTCTTCTGCCGCACTTCGACCGCTCAGGACCGCTTGTCTTCACTCACGGTGATATTGGGACAAAAAACGTGAGGATCGGCAAGGATGGGAAGGTGTGGCTGATTGATTGGGGAATGTCTGGAATGTACCCGCCGTGGTGGGAGTACATAGGGATGTTGAAGTACAAGGAGTCCGGAAGGACTACTCCCCCTGTGCCTTGGTTGTGGGCCAGAGGGATCCCTTTCATGGCTGGATGGTATCCAGCGGCTAAGAAGCATCTCAAATCGATTCGGATTGGTCTAAAAAATCCTTATTTTCTAATTGAATAGCCGTGAGTTGGAATGTGGAAGATACTGTAACAGGCCTCGTCCCGCGTGATTGGACGCGTTTAAGAGCTGAACGCGCTCGCATGAAGCCGTAGAGCAGGTTTGACGAAACGCGAGGGCGAATTCAAGGAGCTGCCAGTAGTAGATAACGGCATGAAATTGCATCTATCATACACATGGTACGGCAGGAATCACAGACTGGTCTAACTGGAGGATCGAGGTTGACAGGATCAGAGGATAACAGGTCGACACCCACAGGCATAGCAAGATCTCTTGCAGGCTCGTTAGTCGCATGGCGTTTTCTGTATCGCATACATCCATGAGTAGATGCGTCTAGTACATCAACGGCTTCTTCGGATCTGGGTCTGGATCTTTGGGAGGTTCTTCCTCGCTGCATCCCACAAATCAGCAAACGGACTTTCCCGGATGAAACTCACGTACCCCCATACACAAACGCCTTCGCCGCCCGCATTACCCACAAACGGCGCCCAAGCGAGGGCAGTCAACACCGGTCCCATAAAGAAGCTCAGCACAAGGTTCCCTTCCCTGGTTGCCATGAGCCATCGACAGGCCCTCTGCTTCGGTCCACCATCGACGAGGTCAGACCAGTCGCGGTATGACAATAGTCCCTTGTCAAGGGACACCCCGATCGACAATCCGTGTCCGGCTCCGGCGCATATATGCGCTCGTGCTGGCACATCAAGAGAACGTTGGCTAGAGTTCGTATGGCGATGGGAGGAAGAAGATGGTGCAACGAGGGAAATGAATAGCTGACCAGGGTTGCCGGAGCTTATGCGGAATTGGGAGAGGACAGCCAGATGCGGAAATCGGTTCTTGGGTGGTTTGGGATCGGGCTCCGGTTCAGGATCTCCAGGTTCAGAATCGGTTTGGAGGTCGATCAAAGGCGGCACGTATGTCTCCCCTTCGACAGGAAGATCCAGTCGAGGAATACGGATTTCATCGGAGGATGATCGTGCAGAGTGAGAGGGTGACGTCGACGAATTCGACATTGACCTGCGGACAACAAGATGCAAAGTTGTCTGTGGCATCCTGAGCACAAAGCAGTAGCTTAGCGCGCCTCAACGCGACAAACATGCATGCCAACTCACTGTACTGTACCCATATCCGCCGCCTTTCTCCTCAAGTACTCGACATCCAACCTCTCTGGAGTAATCTGCATGTCTGCTCTGATGTCCTACAGCCTCACGCGAACGCGAGACTTTGGTGCTTATGTAGCAGCTCTAGAGGGTGACGTTTGCTGGCTGACGCGTGCCTCTCGGTCGGTGAGGGCCGTCAGATCCCCGCCGCTCATCGGGCTTCGCCGACTAGCTGTCCGGCGCAAACGGGATAGTAATAGCTAAAGGGCAACGCATCTGCAAAAGGGCGAGCAGGGCGATGAGATGCGCTGTACAGGAGGTCACGGTGAAAGACAAAGGAGCGGAAGTGGAAGGAGAGGCGCGGTCTGTGACCTCAGTGTATCTTTCCACTTGTCACAATTTGTACATAAACTAGAAATGCGAATTGAACAATCTTCCTATGATTCTTCTCATATACATGACGTCATGATCGAATAGAAAGCGCTTACATTAGTTTGAAAATAGTTGTCGACCTAAGCAGAATCGGACCGAGTCCTCTTACGCCTGTGCGACCAACGTAATTTTAGATGCCTGCTCATCAGCACAGGAAAGAGAGATCACGGAATACCATTTTCTACTTTGTTACATTTCATTTTGACATTCTATTTCTGCAATTTTGTTCGTACAGTTTCGTCTCATACGCAAATACCCATTCAACCCTCCCCTATAAACACACGGCGGAAGGATTGTGATTGTAACTGTGTTGGTGCTTCTAGTGCTTCAGCAGCGAGTGGCCTGTCATCTCAGGAGGGATATCCAATCCCTGATCATTCAACGATATTAGACAGTCAGCGACTAAACAACATAAATCACGTACCAGAAGATCCAGAACAGTCGGTGCGACATCACACAACGCACCCTCCTCGCCTGCTTTCTCCTGCTCGACGCGGAGCGCACCGGTTGATCCAGTAATGATAAGTGGCACCGGATTTGTCGTGTGTGCGGTATGGGGCTCGCCCGTCTCCGGGTTGATCATCTGCTCCGCATTGCCATGATCGGCCGTCACCACCAGAATGTAGCCGGCTTCTTCGCACGCCTCGTATATCGTCTTCACAGCTTTGTCCGTCGCGGTGATGGCTTTGACGGCGGCCTCGTACTTCCCTGTGTGGCCGACCATGTCGGGAGGTGCGAAGTTGCACATAACGAACTCGTACTTCTTCGACTTGACTTCTTCAGTAACCTTGTCGGCAACTTCCTGCACGGACATCTCAGGCTGCTGGTCGTAGGTGGGCACCTTAGGAGAAGGGATCATGAAGCGGTCTTCGCCGGGGAACTGTTTCTCGACACCACCGTTGAAGAAGAACGTGACGTGGGCGTATTTCTCGGTTTCTGACGGAGTGTTTAGTACCGACGCTATACCCCTCCTCATATTGCGACTTACCAGCAATATGGCACTGTTTGACACCCTTCTTAGACAGCCACTCGGCAAGCACGTCGCTCATACCCTGGGGTGGGAAAGCGACAGGGAAGGTCCATTCGGGGTTGTAGCGCGACATGGTGGTGATATTCTACACATATTGTCAGAGATTCTTAGCATAAGAAACATGATTGCTCACCAGATTCTTGGGAATGTCGATCTCGATGGGCTTTTCTGGAAGACCAAACATAGTGACGAGCTCACGCATGCGGTCGGAGCGGTAATTGAAAAAGAACAGCGTGTCGTTATCTGATACTCTAGGTCAGGCTTTGCGAAGTGGGGAACGACTCGATACGTGCCTTGGATGCGTGTCTCCGACCCACCACAGATCATCGGTTTCAAGAACTCGTCTGTTTCATCCTTATCGTATCTCTCCTGGTACGTCTTGAGGAGATCGTCAGTCTTCTCCCCCTCTCCCCTTACTAGGGCGTCAACGGCGATCTTGACCCGCTCCCAGCGCTTATCACGGTCCATTGCGTAGTAACGACCAACAACAGTGACGACCTTTCCAACACCCTCCTTCTTGGTGAAATCAAGAAGATGCTGCAGGTGTTTAAGGCCGGAATGCGGGTCGGTGTCGCGACCATCGCCGATGAAGTGGACGTACACCTCAGGGACCTGTTGTTCCTTCGCAGTCTCGAGAAGGGCAAAGAGATGTTCAATGTGGGAGTGAACACCGCCATCAGACACCTGAGCATATATCAGCATTATATTGACATCGAACGAGGTTCCCTGGCTCACCAAACCAAGAAGGTGAAGACGACCGTTCGTGTTCTTTGCATGCTGGAAGCTCTTCACGATGTTGTCATCCCGGTGGAAGTCGTGCTTCCTGATGGCTTGATCGATTCGGACAATGTCTTGCCAGACGATGCGCCCAGCACCGATGTTCAAATGACTGAGAGATCGTAAGCAATCAGACCATCCGTGCTGGGCGGAGCAACGTACCCGACCTCCGAGTTGCCCATCAGCCCGTCATTAAGCCCGACAGCGAGACCATGCGCCTCAAGAAGACGGTAGTTATACTTCTTCGCAAGCTCGTCCATTGTCGTCGAGTCTCCTGCCTCGATGGCGTTGCCTTTGAGACCGGGATGCCGAGCGACGCCCCATCCGTCGTGAACGCTGCAAGCGCATACATTCAGCCTTCAATACACTACGGTCGACACCGGGCATCGAACGCACATAAGACAGACTTTGTTCTTGACTTGGACCATCTTAGGGGGGTAAAATGTACTAATCAGACGTGCCAACGAAGTAGCACGGTGGTTGCGGCAGAGAGATGAAGGGAAAATGATGGGGACCGACTATTCGCCGTTCTTGACTGGACCGTTGACAGATTCGGAGCCGCTGTCATGACGCGACGTTATTCCCGACCGCGCACGTGCGGCACGTGGAGGAAAAGAGGATAGTTATCCGCTCCGCGCTCCTGGGCAATGCACGTGACTCAGGGCTTGGTGAGGAGGTGAGGGGATGTCAATGTATATGCTGTCATTGTTCTTTCTCTTCAATCGCGCTCTTTGATAATGAATTGTGCTCCTGTTGACCCGACGAAGCCTCTGACAAAGGGTGCATGTGCTATGGCCAGACCACTTCAGCAGCATTCTGCAGATTGTTGGCCATGAAGAGTTGTTGCTTGCCACCAGCACATCCTTCTATCCTCCTTGGTGGATGTGAGTTGGCTCTTGCATTCAGTACGAAGGCACGTGTTGACATGGAGGTGAACAAGGTTTACTGTGAGTGACGGGGTGTAGAGAACAAATGATCATTGCTGTGGTTGGATGGAGACTGTGTGAGAAGGAAGTCCACTATGCGCCATTTGGCAGGAGGGAAAGGTGACATACACAGCTGTGGCATAGTGACAGTTATTGCTGTCCTTGTAGAATTGAACACCCAAGATGACCCCAGTTGTGCCATTTACAAGATTCTTTCTGAGGGCCAGGTTCTCTGCAAGCATGACGCACATGCCTTGAAAGAGTGGTAGGAAGCCTAGTGTATCCTGTGTTTGGCTGGTCAGCAGTTGCCACAAGTGTTGCTGTAACTTGCCAAGAATGGGGAGATTCTTCAAAGTGTCTCATGCAAAGTAGAGGTGTATGGGTTCCTGCAAGTCACACGCGTGTTGTAGAGCAGCTAACATGTTCAGGGTGTCCCAAGTTTCTTTGGTTGCCACAATAATAGGCATGTTTTTGAAAGTGAGCATAGCATCCGGCTCACTAATATGCAAATGGTGCAAAATGCACATCTTGAGAACATCGTGGTCTGACCATGTGTAGTTGTTTTGAAGTGTGCACAGAAGCTCCATTCCAAGCACACCTGTTTCAAATTCTGTGTAACAGATTCATCCAGCATGGATCATCCAATTGGCACATATTTTGGGACAAGAGGACAGCATCGGTCAACTGTTGCCATAGAAGGCCACTGATAAGTTGAAGTTGGCCTCTCACTGTTTGCATGGTGTGCACATTGATGTAGTTGAGGACATCATACCCATATAATGGCAAGCCACCCATTGGGCTGAGTTGGGAAAAGTTGCCTGTGAAGATTATGTTGATGCCACCAAAGGGCGCAGATGTTTCAACAGATCTGCCAATAGAAATTTGCTCAGCAATCTCCACCAAGAATTCTGCAGAAACCATGGAAATTTCATCTATGACGAGCCAAGTTCTGGTTCTCCAGATGCATCCTAGGTGGCCAACATATTGTGCCTGGTTGGGCTGGCAAGGGATCCCAGTGAGTGAGTGTATGGTGTAGCCACCAATCAGAGTAGCAGCCATGCTGGTGGGTGCACTGAGACAGAGTGCATCTTGAATGTGTAGCTTTGAGAATAGCAGCTGGAGAGAGCGGATGACATGGCTCTTTCCAGTCCCTGCTCCTCCATGCACAAAGAAAAGTAATTGCTTGTGATAATCAAAAGCCAAATGGCGCACAATGACCCAGAGAGCAAGACACTGCTCTGGATTGGATGATAGTTGTTGCTCTTGCAATACTTCTTTGAAAGCTGTTTCAACCAGCACAATGTGAGGATGAGGTGCTGGAATTAAAGGTATGTTGGTGGGTGACTGAATTGATGTCATGTGACTGATAGTAGCCGATGGGTCATGTGTGATTCCCATAGCTGAAGGTGCAGTATCATCATCCAGTGCACCTTGTTGACACCATTCCCGGAGTTCCTGGGCCCAGCAATGAAGATTTGCTTCATCTTCAAAATTCATTTCGCACACATTGCACGGAACACCAATGAAGGACAAGCCTGTATAGTCTTCACTCGGCACTGAAAAACAGGAGTGAATTGAGTTGAGTGGATTAACTGTTTTCCCTGCCTCATGAAAAACAGTGCACTGTGCACAGTGGATAACATGCCATGATCACCAAGGTCATGGATCTCCACATTGTCAAGCATATCTTTATCTGGTGCATGTTCATCTTCCAAAAGATCCATTTCCTCCTCAGCATCAGTGTATAGCAAAATTTGTACCAGCCGTCTGCTGTGGGATTTATTGCATAGATTGTTGATTCAAGCCTTGTGTGCTTGGTTCAACATGTCAATATTCTGGATGAGGCAAAGGTGTCAATTGGTGAAATGCATGGATTGGAATGCTTGCCCCCAGGTTTGTCCAGCACCCAGTAGATCAGACAATTTGTGCCAGGGCTTGAAAAGTAGAAGCATGGCTCTATACCATTCATCCAATTGGATTGGACCCTCTTGCATTTGGGGCAATGTTGGGCCACAGATGTCAGGAACACAGGAAGTAGATTGGAATTTTGCATGGTGTGATGATTGCTGGGGATGGTTGTCGAGGAATGATCCACACAAAAGGTGCCCTTTGCAAGAAGATAAATTGTCATCAGAGTCAGGGAGGAGCTCCTCATTTGAATAGGGATTGCCAGCCAAAGGAGCAGAGGTTTGCTTGCAACCTGGAATCACCTCCTTTTCTGCATGTGCAATGTAGTCATATACACAAAGTGTGCTGAATGAAGGATTGGAGGGGTGGAAAGCATAATCATGATATTGATTTGCAGCAGAAGGCATGCCTTGGGCAAAGGACAGAGCCAAAGAAGAAAGTTGACCTTCAGCATTCTCCATATCTGGTAAGTTGTTTTCACAAACAACCCATGCAACATATTCCTCATTATCTCCTTTGTAGATATCATGAGCAATGGGATCTTGGGTTGGAATAGGGGCCTTTAGAGGGAGATCAGAAGGCAAGTCAAGCAAACCATGCAGTATGATATCCCAATATAGGCGACCAAACACATGGTTGCAGTAATGGTCACCCCTGCTGCTGAAAAAGCTCATGATTTGTTGGTGAGACATTTCTTGTTGGGTGGAGCATTGATTCACAGTCTTTATCAGCAAGCTCTTGTCTTCAACATGCTCTGACGGGGCATCAAGGTGCGCAAAGTTTTCTTTGTTCTTTTGAATGGCATATGCAAGGGCAGTTATACCAGCATGAACTCAAAGTGTCAGCTTAGTGATATAGTCAGTGATGTAAATCAGCACAGCTTTTGCAGCTTGCCCTGACCCAAGGAACTGTATGTCCATATTGCAGCCCAACAGAAACATGACAACATTGTTGTATTCATTAATATGAGGATGTAAACATCACAGGAGGATTGAACCAGTATCAGGATCAATGCTTGTCACAGAGCACATAGTGCCATTGATTTGCATCTGACAATTGGCATCAGTTTTGGGTTCTCCGGATTGTAGGTGTATCCAACACATTGCGCGGTGTTCATGCCAATTGTTCTGCTTGACCAGAGCTGAAACCTGTTCCTTGAAAGTTGGCCACCATTCAGTGCCCAATGCTGAAAGATCAGGGCTAGCAGAGGTTTGAGGATCAATGTCTTCTTTTCCCAGCTTTGGCATGGACAGCACACCATTTGATTCCTCTACAATGCTTTCATCATTGGGAAGCTCTGTCTTGATCAATTGTTCAAGCCAATCAAACATCTGAGCCTTGAAGTTTTCTTGGTTCTTTGAAAGTAATTCACACAACTTGTTAGGACCAGGATTGCCAACAATCCACACCAGCATGTGGCAGTGAAGAGTGCCTTGGCCCTGGGCCTCTACCATGCTGTACCAGCTGTTGCACTTGCCAAACAACCCAATTCCATTGTTGACTCTAAGAATGAGATCACAAAACCTGAGCATGGTTTTGTGAAACACCTTGGCAGCAATAGCCGGGTTTTCAGCTATGCTTATCACACAAGAGAATTGGGTTTCACAAGTGGTACTGCTCAGTACATCTGGCGTGTTTTGAAAGTTCCCAATATGGAGATGAGGAAGGTAGCCATCGATATTGTTGGGAGTGAGAGTAATGAAGAAAGCTGGGGAGCCCAGGTGGTAGATCAAAGATTGGATTTCACCATGCAGTGCATGTTTGTAGCCATCTGTTAGGGCAACACAGGCTGACTAAGTCTGCTCACCTAAGAGTGCCAAGAGTCTAAGCAGGCAACAAGGAAGTGGAGTAGACCTGATGACTAAGACCTATCTACAGTATAGGTACCTGTGGATGATCCTAAGAGACCAAGTCTGAAGAGACAGTCCCCAGGCAGAGTAGGCCTTATATTTATACCTCTGTGGTGGAACCTGCTAGAACATCTTGCTTACTCAGCCTAGTCAGGTGATCAGGTCATATGAGGTCATGCACAGCCATGCACAGCAGGTCACCTGACCATCCAATCCTTCAAGCAGGTTCCAGCACATGCCAAAGTATACCAGCTACTTCCATGTCATAAAGGCTTAGTCATGTCTCTTGACCAAGCAATGAGCTGGTGCCCTGACACTGTCACTGCCAGGAACATCTTTTCTGAGCATGTGTACTCTTCACAAGACGCGCAGAGCTAATTGTTCACTTGGACCAGAGGGAGAGATATGAGAGCTGTGCTTGAACTGCAGAGCAAGGTTTAGAAGAGTGTTGGTGTTCACGTGGTGCAGATTTTTGAGAATAGTTGTGTGTTGGCCATCATGGAGATGGAATTATACATCATGCACTGCTTGTTGCTTCTGGAGTATGCTGTTGAACACAAAGGCAAAGGTTGAATCCCTTTGAAAGTGACAATTGGCCAACTGGAGAAGTGCATGAGTTGCTTGGCCATGAGACCAGAGTATGTCTTTGGGGATCATCAACCCCC